TGACCTCCATAGACCAAAAAAACTAATCATACAACTCCATAAATTAAATATGAACACATACTGATCATAAGAGTTTCATACAATTTGCTGAATTTGGCATAAAAATTGGTGCATCGTCATAAATAGTTTTTAAAAACTTGTCAAAAAATGAGAATTACACAATTTCCTCGACCACCATTATTGTATACAAAATTGACTAAATGGCTAAAAATTGTATCACTAGCATTGTTTTGTTGGCGACAACAAAAATTTGTCTCTGTAATTTTGAAAAACACAAAAGATTTTTTGTTTTTTTTTTCTAACAAAAGTAGTTTCGAAAATCCCAATAATTTTTTTAATTGCAAAACTAATTTTGTACTCGATCAAATATTTTCAAAAAACGTTCAATAACTAACATTGTTTTCAATAACTCGATCAAAGCTTTTCAATAACTCAAATAGAAAAAAAAACAATATGGAGACTTCGTTTTTGTTGCTTGTTTTTCCTTACATTTTAGAAGTTTGTTTTTTTCAACTTGAAAGAAATCATTTTTTCTCAAATTCTTATAACCTGAAAGATTTGTTAGGTAAAATAAAACTTCTCAATTTTATTTTATATCAATAAAATAAATAATCGGATTGCGAATTTTGCTTTAAAATGTTTTTTTGTTTTTCTAATAAAAATGTTTGTTTTTTTTTCAAAAAATATACCTTTTTTTTGCATTTAACCGTTTTTAATAGTTTTTCTGTCAAAGGTTAGGTTAGATTTGAATATTTTTTTTTTTCCAGATTTAGTTTTGTGACTACACATTAAGTTGAATTGAATGAATTTCTGAAAAATATCTGGTTTAAAATATCTGGTTTCCTCATAGTATGAAAGTTTTACAATTAACATTTATTATAACTAATAGCTAATTGACAGATTTTGCATACCATCTAAAAGATATTGATGTCAATAACTTTAATTTCAAAAAAAATTTCCGGGTTGAATTAATTGAGCTCAAAAAACTTCCAAACTGGATGCACCTTAATTATTTCGAAAAACGCAAACAAATAATAAATTATACTACGTTAACTAAACAAAGGTTAATTTTGTTTTGAAAGGAAATCACACTTTTTGATGTATGGCCCAAAATACCAAATTGTCATTGAGCTTCGTTGAGCTTCGTTGATATAATCGATTGTTTTTTTGTTCATAAAATCTACAAAAATCGATTTTACTTTTTGCAAATGGGAATCGTTTACTGTAGTGTTTGTGGCGTTTTTAAAACTAGAACGCGAATGAACATAATGAAATTATAATTGGTTGTTTTTACTTTTTATGAAGACTGACAAAAAACCAAACATAATCGATAGTTATGCATGAAAATAGTGCGGGCGATGGGAGTGATTTTGTCTCGTACACATCAAATAAAAAGCCTGCCATCTTTTGTAAAACATTATCAATCTACAAACATTAAAACTTTTCAGCTATTTTCTTACAACCTTGAAGATTCTCATCATCGCTCTTCTTACAATCTCAGAGACACAAAACTCTTTTCAACTGCGAGGATTCTAGCTAAAAATTTTCAACTCATTTTTTTAATTCTTCTTCAAAACACTATCAGGTAAATTTAGCAGTTTTCCTTTCATGATACTTCTTCAAAAAAATCTCTGCTGATGTTGAGTAAAATTTGTTTCTGCATTACATATTTTTGAGTCAAATTCAGCGGCGATTTTTGATGGGTGGGATTGGACGCTTCTTCACTCAAGATTATGATTCTAATAAGCTACCTAAAGGGTTTCGGTTTAGTTAGTTAACCAGGACTTCTTCGGTGCCGTTGTTAGCGTACTTTTGTCAAAGAGAAGTTTCAGGTGCGAAGGTTTGTTTTGATTTGAAGCCTCAAACTGCACTCAATTCTGAAAAAGAGGCAGATTCCTGTTAAAAAAAAAACACTTTCCAACCTGGGTATTTTGACAAAACTGTAAAAAATGATGCAAATAACTTCTCAGAAACATGCAAAGGAGGAAGACTTTGGTGACTCGGTCCAATTCTAAGCAGGAGAGCTTCCAGATAGTGGCTATCCAGCGAATCTGCAGTAAGGCCAGTCATTTTCACGGATACTGTGTCGCAAAAGCACAATGCCAGTAGTTTTAGCCATGTTGCAGATCGTCGCCACCCTCCCAGTGACTGTCTTGTCTGCACTTTTGATCTCTCTTTTTCGAGCACGAAAAAACTAAAAATTTACCTCTGCTCCAACATGAACGTAGCTTTTTAGCTTCTAACTGAATGTACCTCCTGCTCATTTTAATTTTTACTTAACAAAAGATAAATGAAAAATATATACCAGAGTCAAAATCTCAAATTTGTCTAACTTTGTTTGTTTTATTTTTTAACAAATTTACAATAACCCTAGATTTGAACCACGAAGTATCACTTTTAAATCAATCTACTTCAAAAATGATTTATAGTACGATCCCCAGCCAAAAGTTATCAAGCGCAATTTGAAATTTTGATTCAGTGTCCAAACTTTAGTTTTTTTTTGAGATTAAACATGATTTCAATGGTTTTGAAAAAAACTTTTAGTCAATGTAAAACATAAGTTCGAACATTGACAATCGGGAGAAACTTTGTATTCAAATGTGTTTTTACTTTAAAATATTTTTCTACGCAAGTCAGCTACCACAAATAATTATGGGAATAATTATGCTTGATATATCAAATTGAAGAATAAAAGAATTTCAAACAACTAATTCAGTGTTGAGAAAAGCAGGTGAAAAACAGACTAATTTCGAGTGAGTAAAGCGATCAAGAAAGACTCGATATAAAAAAATTATTCTTTTAGGCTAAATAAGTAGAAAAATATTTTTAGAAGCTTCTTTGGCCTTAAAAGTTTTTCTAACAACAACTAAAAAGCTAAGTTGCAAATAAAAAAGACATTTTTAAAACAAAATATTTATTTCTCTTTTTAGTCTTTTTTGAAGTCAAATAATGACAAACTAACCTATTTCACTTGTTTTTTTATGATGTTTTTATAGTTATATTGTCACGCCACGCACAAAATAAGGCAATTATTCTAGAAAAAAAAAAGAAAAAAAAGTTTTTAAAATCAGAAATTTTTTTGTAGTTTTTGTATGATATTGGTTGGATCATTTTGTGCTACGAACAGTAAATGGTTATATTGGTTAGTATTTGAAACCCTTATCATTGGTCACTGCATTTGTTTTCAACTTTCAATTTCCGGTTTTGCTGACGAGATTGTCGTAATCTTTTCGATTTTATCCGAAGAATATTTTTAGTTTCAGTGAAATTATGATAATTTTTATCTAATTTTAACCAAACTTAAACTTTTTAATGAGATTGTAATGCTTTTAAATTGAGATTTCGGTGAAATTAGAAAAGTATGAAAAATAATTTTGTTCTGATTTTAAAAGATTTTAAAAGTGTTCGACAAATCATACGCTGTTTTGAAATCGGAAATTCTTCAGCGATTCCTCCCCTCCATTGTGCAAAAAGCGGGATTCGTTTCTAGGTACTGTTGAAGTTGTAGAATGTATAGTAATGAAGAGAATAGTTGTTTAACGTTAATTGTAAAGCAACTGTAAGGCATCAAATCTAAATCTTACTGCACCTTTCTGTTTTAGCTCGTACCGGACGATAGAGATCGCAAGGTCACGACAGCAGGTCCCCAGACAGAAAGAAACAAACTCATATAACTTATATAAACTCAAACTGGTCCCTATCTCAGTACAAACTTATTAGATGCTTCACCGTTGAATTAGTTCCTTATCATAGGGGTATCAAGTCGTTACTAGGTACCAAAGGGGGAAATAGTTAAAGATATCAAAAAATTGGACCATAATGAGTGAATAAATCAAACGCGAAAGAATCCAGTGCTTAAATTCATATTAACTAACTAAACGCTTTAATAATTTTGGGCCACATCGCATAATAGAAAATACATCATACCTGAATTTCGCTATTAACTTTGGTGCAGCATAACTGGGTAAATATTTCGAGCTTTTCTGTAAAAAAAAAAATCCTCGCACCGTGTGTATTTAAAATTGGTCGCAATTAGAGAAACGACTCCTTCTGGGGTGTGGTCAAAGAAGCGGATCTAGGATTTTCTCGAGGGCGGAGGGGGTTTGTATTTTCAAAAAAGTTTGAAAATGTTGTCGACCTTTTTTTAGGTTGACCAATTTGATTTTCTTTTCTGAGCGCTCCCAAATCACTATAAAAACATTATTTCTTAATTCGACCTAACTTTCTGCGCCGCAGGCTAAATTTAAAAAAAAACAAGCCAAAATAGGAATTTTTTGTCAATTTTTGGAACATTTTGCGCACGCTCACCCTCAAAATTGGTATATATTGGCGCCTAAGGCACCTTCAGAAAATTTTTGGGAAAATGGATAGCTCAAAATAGTTCGGCAGGGGGTCGAATCCCTGAGAGAGAGGGAAAGAAGAAAGGCGTCCACCCCCGCCCCCCCCCCCCTAAATCCGTTACTGGGAGTGGCGTCAGTTTCTTCTTCTTCTAGGGTCTATCATTGTTACTCCTAAATCACTTTCTAGAAAAAGGGCGTCCCTAATTTTCCTATTTCTTCAATTTAAGCAGAAACCAATCCTACAGCAAATGGAAAGGCTCCGTTATTATTGGTGCTAGGATTTCAGCAGACCGTTTTTTAGCAGACCAATCTTTAAGCAGACTTTGAGCAATCAGCAAGACAGAACGCTACCTTCAAAAACGGCATTGGCGATTAGCGACGGTTTGATCCGCTGCGCCTCAATTCAACACAAGTTTTTTGTGTGCGAAATCTTAGTTTTGCCGCTAATTTATCCCGTTGGGTTTCTGAAGTTGATAGTTTTGTTGACAAATCGTGAGATAATTGTCTTAATTGGGGACGCTTGACCCAAGACTGAGCGTGTTTTTGAGTCTGTAAATTAATCATGCGTCACTTAATTACGTTTTGGTCTGCTGAAAGACTCATTTTTCACTTTTTATGCTATAAAACTAGTCTGCTAAACAATCAGTACCGTTATTTTTATATTCGACTATAGCGACATGCTCCAAAAGCGTGTCTGCTCAGTGTGCTGTCGGTGCTTTCATCTTTTTCTCACGGTGCTATAAAACAAAGTGAAGGGAGGGAATTCATTTTTGCCGCCTACTTGTGAAAACGATACGTGAAAACATTGAATTCTGGTCTGATTTTCATCCAATCACAGCGCTCCATTTCTAGCTGAAGAAAAGAAAATAATAATTCTGGTGTTTGACCTCGCGATTCAAATTTATTCTTCGCTATTGAAGTTGTGAGCTTGCTGAGCTGAGCTAACTTAAATTAGTAGACTTTAATAAATAATAAGCTATAATAAATCTACAGCTAGAAAGAAAATATATCTTTGAGAAAATAAAAGGGCCGGCCCCTTTGTATTGAGTTATTACGTTGTTATTATCAGCAAATCAGAAAATAACTGCTTCTCAAATTACCGAAAAACAGCATCATTTGCAAAAAAAGCTCATTTTCCTTCATACTCGAATCGGTTTATTGTTTTAAGCGTTACCTGTTCTTTTGTATTCCATTGTTCGAGATCTAAATAAATTACTTAATTGATTGTGAACTTAACAAAAAGTTGAAAAGTTATTATAATTTTTGTGCAAATTTCGAGTATTTGTTGGATTCAAAATGTTGAAATTAATTTTAAGCCCAGTTTTACTTGTTGCGATGCTGTTCAGTTTTCCACGACCCGTGACGGGGCAACGGAGTTCATGTAGGCCAGTCGGGGACGTTTTCGCGCCGGAGACAGCCAGTAAATGCCAGAAATATGTCAGCTGGTACGACATAGCTTTCGCTGAAGAAGGGGACAAAGATCTAGTGCAACCTAAAGATTACACCTCAACCAAATGCAGAGAACTCCTCAATATATTTTTCTGCCTTCAAAGAGCGGGATCTTGTTACCCGAAAAATATGGAGTACACCAACAAAACGAAGCAGACTTTGAGACATCTCAACCCCTGCAGAAGTTTTTGCACTTACATGAAGAACGATTGCGGGTTGGATTTAATCATCCTTTCGTGCGAGCATTACAAGAACGACGCTCCGCCCGTAACTCGTGAGCAGTTCCAAAAAGGAGAGTTTCTGGACTACATTTTCGACGAACAAGGAAGGGAGCTTTCGTCCAATATGGACAGACAATGCGTTCCTCACTACATATACGACGAATCTGAAGAAGAGCCGAGAAACTGTCCTTCGAAACTGAAAACGAAAGGCAACAACTACGATTTCATGGGCGGCGAGAACTGCGGTGCTCCGTGCAACAAACTTCTATTTTCAGACTCCAATCGCGCGTTTCTTCGAAAGTGGACTTTTGGGTGGTCTGTTTTGTGCTTGATCTCTTGTTTGTTCACGTTCACTACTTACCTGTTGGATCGAGGACGTTTCAATTACCCAGAGGTGTCCATTATCTACTTCTCATTTTGTTACATTTTCATCTCGCTCTCATATATAACCGGATTCTTTGCCGGTGACTCGTTTTCATGTAATTCTGTGGATTTGACGAAGAAATCTGCAAATGATGTAATCATTACGCAATCGCTGGACCATTTTAGCTGCACCATTTCTTTCGTTGTGCTCTACTACTTCACAATGGCCAGTGCTCTTTGGTGGGTGGTGTTGTGTTTCACTTGGTACTTAACAGCTGGTCTCAAATGGTCGCACGAAGCGATCGCCAGCAAGGCCTTTTTGTTTCATGCCATCGTCTGGCTCTTACCTCTCGGGTTGACGGTAGCTGTCCTCGTGTTAAACGGAGTCGAGGGCGATGACCTCACTGGAACCTGTCTAACTGGAACCATCTCAACCGACTTGATGAAGTTCTTCGTCTTCGGACCCCTGCTGCTGTTTCTCGTCACTGGCTTCGCGTTCATAGTCTTCGGGTTGATCTCGATGTGCCGAATCAGATCTGTCGTCAAGGTCACTTTCGACTCTAAATCGGCCGACTCGTTTCAAAAACTGATGCTGCGAATCGGTCTTTTCTCGCTGTTTTACATGGTCCCAATGTCGATTGTCGTCGCCTGCTACTACTACGAAATTGCATCACGAGCCGAGTGGTTCGGAACATGGTTCCGACTATCGAGTGACGAACCAGCATCCCCTGCCGACGACGCCGAGGAGTCTGCAGTCGAAAACAAGACCCCTGAATTCAAAATCTTCCTGCTCAAGTATTTCTTAAGCATGGTTGTCGGAATTACATCTCTGTTCTGGGTGATGTCGTACAAAACAATCAATTTGTGGCTCAGTGTTTTCTGCGCATGTACCGAAATTGGACGCGACAGCAAACGGAAGACTCTGGCTCAAGATGTCCCGATCAAGCAGCTGGGCATCACAGCCAATCCGGAAATGGCGATTCAAATCAAAAACATGACTAGCAAAGACGTTTCACCGTCGAGTAACGAGGACAACACTAACGGAGGACAAATGCTGTTGAACAAGGCGCCCTCTCATCCGAACAATTACAATCTGCAGCAGCAGCCGAACAGCAATGCGAGCATCCGAATGAAAAACATTAACGGGGGCTATCCGCCAGTAAGCCATAGTAGCAAAGATCAGTGTTTCGTCTGAAACAATCGCGCAAAACTTGAATCAGACAATAACTGATAGCATTAAAGTCTATAGTTAGAAGCCAAAAAAGTGCGAAAAACTCACAGATAAACTCAACTGATGCAAAAACTCACAAAAAACTCGGAAACTGGAAATTAAAAGGATGACTTTTCCCGAATAGCAGGGTACTTAGAACAGAAGTTCTTGAACTAAGAAGAACTTCTGAGTTGATGAACAGACAATAATTCGATTTATGTTTATTTTTGCTAGAAAACTGAATTTCATACATTTCCTAATTGTTTGTATAAAAAAGTTTGAATTGCATTCGAACAAAGTAAAAGCTATTATAATGGATTTTGTTGCATTTCATTTGGTAAATTCGTTAATTGATTTTGGATGTAATAAATTTATTCTGATTTTTGGTTCATAATACTTGGTGAAGGAATATAATTAGCTTTCAAAATACGCTTTATGTTAGTTAACAATTTATTGGAAAAAGCTAATAAATTAATGTTTCAAACAAAATCGATTTTTAAAAAACCAAACAAGTTTCTGGGATTAATTTGAGTGCAAAAAAAGACATCAGCTGAAAAGAAAACTATTTAGGCACTGCAAAAGCTGAATTATACGGCGTGAACTCCTGCCTATTATAGTAGCCTAAGGTCAAGTTTTCACCAAAGCCTATTAAAAAGATCAGACATTTTTCTACTCAGAAAAAAAAGGATATATTCCATGCTTCTACAAAAGTGAGGAGCAAACTAAATCAATCAAAAACGAGTTAAGGCTAGTAGTTTGTTTATATTACTACCCGGCAAATTTTTTTTGTATCTTACAAAGCATGAGCGGGAAAAATTTTAAAAAATGGAAATGGTACAAAAAAAATTATAGCCGGTTACTTCGCAAGTAGCACAGAATGATCCGACCATAGTCTTAAAAAATACAAAAAAGTTTTTTCAAAGTTGCGTTGTTTTTTTTCCGGTGTGGTATGACTAAAAGCAGCAGAACGAAAAACTCAGAGATCAGGCATAAACGACAGCCAAAGTGAAATCAGCAAATTGAAAAACAAAATAGAAAAACGGGAAAAACAACATGAAAAACTTTCACATAATTTTCCCTTTTTTATTGGAGTCTTTTGAAAATTTGAAGTTTTTTATTCCAAAAGGCCGCTAAAATACTAAAAAAACTAGCGTTACTCGAATAAACCTAAGTTTGTACGTTTAAATCTGAGCTAACGTAGGTAAGCTTTTAAGCTATCGAAAAAAAAGCTTTTGTAACCCTGCTGGCTTGCTTTATTCGTTCAAATCAAGACAAAAAACCAAGTCTTAAACCGTTTTTTCTCTACATTTTTCTCAACGTTGTTCGAATTTTGTTTGTAAAGATTTAATTATATTTTATTATGTTATAACACTAAACTTTCTCATATGATTTTTTGTGGTAGCTGATTTTGGCGTGGAAAATAACAAACGCGCAAAAATTTGTCTTGATTTCTTGCAAATCGAATCAAAGTGATAAATTTTCAAAGCTTTTTTGAAATATATCTTGTTATAGAAAGTATTTTAAAATAGCGGAATTTAAAAATATAGTCGAAACACTTTTAAAAACTAAAAATTTATTTCGAGACAGACATATAGCAATAGGTTTTTTTTTTCAATTTTAAATGTGTAAAACATGCAAGTTGTATAATTTTGCTTTCGGTGTAATGACTTAAATACTTTTCTGATATTTGTTACCAATAAATTAGATAAAGTAAAGTGACAAAGATAAAAAATGCCAGTTAAAAAATTGAAACTTGTCGAGAAAAACAAGTGGCACAAATATTCCGTCATCAAAAGTGCTGAACCTTTCCTAATGTAGAAAATGAGTCGTATCATTTTGAGCTCATGGATTTTGTGTTATTCCTTGTGATTGAGAATTTTGAAAATTACTTAACTCGAGTTGGCAAAGTTGTGTAAATTTGCAAAAAAAAAACGGTTTATGTTCTGAGAATGCTAGTGTGTTTGTTGTTTGATCACCAATAAAATCTTAGTGAATTTAATTTAGGAATTTACAAAAAATGTTCTGCATAACAAACTGAAAACAAAATCAACAAACATAGCCGGTGCTTGTGCAAGTAGCACAGATAGCGCCGACCACAAATATGTCAGAAACAACAAATTAAGTTCTTTAAAACTATTTCAGTTTTTGTACGTGCTGCGATGAAAGGATCTGAACAACATCCTTAACATAGGCATATTTGAGAATCATTAAAAATTATCCATAGATGGCAGCAGTTTTTTTTTGAAAATTGAACTGAAAAACTTAAAAGTTAAGCCTTCAATTTTTTTCTAAGTTTTAGCTACAACAATTTGTGAAGTCGTTGTCATCTCTAATATTCCATATCACTCGATACACTACAATGATTATTTGTGTCACCTAATTTTGTATAGAAAGAAAAATTCAAAAAACAACACATATGCCGGATGACAAAATTGCGTCATTTTCAAGGGTCGAAACAATTATTTTTTAACAAATGAACATGCAAAAACTATATTTTTTGCTGCAAAATTTCTGCGGCTACTTTTTTCAACTGCTTTTGGGAATGCTTGCTTTTGGGAATGCTTGGGAGCGTTCGGTGGTTATTTGCGCAGAGCAATGAAACGCACTCTTCAAAAGACCACTGGGAAATTGTTTTTGATGCCATTATATATTTTATGAGATTACATGGCAAAATTTGGAACCCACATAGCACTATGTTGGATGTTGAGTTTTTTAATCAGCTGAAAAGAGTTTTTCTTGGTTAAAAAAGTATTTTAAGTTCTACTGATTTGTTGAAACGCGTTAAGGATGGTTTGGTAGCTTTTTTCTTATAAATTTCTCTTATTTGAAAGCTTAGTCTTAAATTCTTCAGCTTTCTTTACAACAATGGTTGACCTTTAATTAGGGCAAAATTGAACCCTTCATTCAAATAACAGTCCAGTTGATTTATAGTAATTAAAATCAAATTGAAAAAAAGCTGACTGATATTTTTGTTTTGTTTTATTGCTATTACCGTCAAATGAGCGGTTACGTGAATCAACTTCGTTAAATCAAATTCATTGACCAAAAAAGCAACACAAACGTTTGGCGTAGAGATTAATTATTAGCAAAATGTTCAGACAAAATATATATTTTAAAAAGCAGTTGATCTAATTCAGGAAAATTTTGAATGCAAAGGCTATATTTTCAGACAGATTTGGCCCCTTTGTATTGAGTTATTACGTTGTTATTATCAGCAAATCAGAAAAAAACTGCTTCTCAAATTACCGAAAAACAGCATCATTTGCAAAAAAAAATAGCTCATTTTCCTTCATACTCGAATCGGTTCATTGTTTTGAGCGTTACCTGTTCTTTTGTATTCCATTGTTCGAGATCTAAATAAATTACTTAATTGATTGTGAACTTAACAAAAAGTTGAAAAGTTATTATAATTTTTGTGCAAATTTCGAGTATTTGTTGGATTCAAAATGTTGAAATTAATTTTAAGCACAGTTTTACTTGTTGCGATGCTGTTCAGTTTTCCACGACCCGTGACGGGCCAACGGAGTTCGTGTAGGCCAGTCGGGGACGTTTTCGCGCCGGAGACAGCCAGTAAATGCCAGAAATATGTCAGCTGGTACGATATAGCTTTCGCTGAAGAAGGGGACAAAGATCTAGTGCAACCTAAAGATTACACCTCAACCAAATGCAGAGAACTCCTCAATATATTCTTCTGCCTTCAAAGAGCGGGATCTTGTTACCCGAAAAATATGGAGTACACCAACAAAACGAAGCAGACTTTGAGACATCTCAACCCCTGCAGAAGTTTTTGCACTTACATGAAGAACGATTGCGGGTTGGATTTAATCATCCTTTCGTGCGAGCATTACAAGAACGACGCTCCGCCCGTGACTCGCGAACAGTTCCAAAAAGGAGCGTTTCTGGACTACATTTTCGACGAACAAGGAAGAGAGCTTTCGTCCAATATGGACAGACAATGCGTGCCTCACTACATATACGACGAATCTGAAGAAGAGCCGAGAAACTGTCCTTCGAAACTGAAAACGAAAGGCAACAACTACGATTTCATGGGCGGCGAGAACTGCGGTGCTCCGTGCAACAAACTTCTATTTTCAGAATCCAATCGCGCGTTTCTTCGAAAGTGGACTTTTGGGTGGTCTGTTTTGTGCTTGATCTCTTGTTTGTTCACGTTCACTACTTACCTGTTGGATCGAGGACGTTTCAATTACCCAGAGGTGTCGATTATCTACTTCTCATTTTGTTACATTTTCATCTCGCTCTCATATATAACCGGATTCATTGCCGGTGACTCATTTTCATGTAATTCTGTGGATTTGACGAAGAAATCTGCAAATGATGTAATCATTACGCAATCGCTGGACCATTTTAGCTGCACCATTTCTTTCGTTGTGCTCTACTACTTCACAATGGCCAGTGCTCTTTGGTGGGTGGTGTTGTGTTTCACTTGGTACTTAACAGCTGGTCTCAAATGGTCGCACGAAGCGATCGCCAGCAAGGCCTTTTTGTTTCATGCCATCGTCTGGCTCTTACCTCTCGGGTTGACGGTAGCTGTCCTCGTGTTAAACGGAGTCGAGGGCGATGACCTCACTGGAACCTGTCTAACTGGAACCATCTCAACCGACTTGATGAAGTTCTTCGTCTTCGGACCCCTGCTGCTGTTTCTCGTCACTGGCTTCGCGTTCATAGTCTTCGGGTTGATCTCGATGTGCCGAATCAGATCTGTCGTCAAGGTCACTTTCGACTCTAAATCGGCCGACTCGTTTCAAAAACTGATGCTGCGAATCGGTCTTTTCTCGCTGTTTTACATGGTCCCAATGTCGATTGTCGTCGCCTGCTACTACTACGAAATTGCATCACGAGCCGAGTGGTTCGGAACATGGTTCCGACTATCGAGTGACGAACCAGCATCCCCTGCCGACGACGCCGAGGAGTCTGCAGTCGAAAACAAGACCCCTGAATTCAAAATCTTCCTGCTCAAGTATTTCTTAAGCATGGTTGTCGGAATTGCATCTCTGTTCTGGGTGATGTCGTACAAAACAATCAATTTGTGGCTCAGTGTTTTTTGCGCATGTACCGAAATTGGACGCGACAGCAAACGGAAGACTCTGGCTCAAGATGTCCCAATTAAGCAGCTGGGCATCACAGCCAATCCGGAAATGGCGATTCAAATCAAAAACATGACTAGCAAAGACGTTTCGCCGTCGAGTAACGAGGACAACACTAACGGAGGACAAATGCTGTTGAACAAGGCGCCCTCTCATCCGAACAATTACAATCTGCAGCAGCAGCCGAACAGCAATGCGAGCATCCGAATGAAAAACATTAACGGGGGCTATCCGCCAGTAAGCCATAGTAGCAAAGATCAGTGTTTCGTCTGAAACAATCGCGCAAAACTTGAATCAGACAATAACTGATAGCATAAAAGTCTATAGTTAG